GGCCGGGGAGCCCCTCGCCAGCGGCTGGCTGCGTCCCGGTCCCTCCTCGTGCCCAGGCTGGGCTGGCTCCCGTCCCCATGGCCGGCGACACCTCTGCATGGCTGCCCGCTGCCACGGTTGGGTGGGCTGCACCCTCGCCGTGCTGCGGTGAGCTGGGCCACTCCCCGAGCCGTGGCTCTGTTCCTGCTGTTCCCCCCATGGGGTCATTTGGGTGTTTTTCTCTTTTTGTAAGTTCCTTCAGGCCAAATCATGGATTGCTTCCCCGGCCGGTGGGTTTCCTGTACCAAGCATGCTGGCAGCATGAGTTGTCACCTTGCCGAGCTTGCCCTGTCCTGCTCCGGTGGGGTGCCATGGGGTGGTGGGACAGGAGAGGGGCACGTCCACGCACACCTGTGCCCTGGAGCCCCCCATGGCATCGCCTGTGATGCACCAGCCTGGCATCGGGGATGCGGCGGGATTATTTTGGGAGCTGAGGCACGGCGGTGTCGCCCCTGGGGTGCGCAGGCAGGTGATGGCTCCGGCTGAGCCCACCACCCCGTCCCATCCCGGGAGGGCTGAGCTGCGGCCGCGGGGCTGATTCCTGTTCCCTGCCCTTCAGATCTCACACCGAGCCCCGCGGGTGCGGTTCCCCCGTGCAGCAGCCGGTAACGTCTGGATTACAGGGACCCCCATTGTACCGATTCTTGGCATTTTGGGTTAAAAAAACCCCAAACCTGACAGCTATCATTGCATTTATGGTTCTGCAGGTCTGAGCTGTCTTTCTTCTGCTGCGGTGCGTTTGCCTGTCGAGCTGAAGGCAGCCTGTGCCTGGCCCTGCGTGGAGCATTCATTTTATCGCAGAACAAATCCTACAGCCTCATTCTTCACTGAAAATAAATTTTAGGAAGTAACTGGTGGGTCCCAAGGGTGTTCGTCTCTGGGCTTAGTCGACATGCCCTTTTAGTGGGTCGCTCGGCAGGTGCTGGCTGAGGGGGCCGGCTGTGCCCTCGCCTCGGTCGCGCTGCGTGGCAGGTATTTTGAAGTGTGCTGAACCACTGCGTGCTCGCGGCTGCTGGCAAGCAGCTCTCCCGCCGGCCGTGGCCGTGCTGCATGGCCCCTGCGCCCCGGGCTGCCCGCGCTGGGGCAGGAAGAACGCTCGCCGGCCTCCGGAGATAAGGATGTTTTTATGGCTGAATTGTTTTGTAGCCTCTATTGAATGCGTTCCTGGATTAGACCTTAATTCCTGTGCAGAGCCGGGGGTGTGTTCCACTGATGCCCAGGCTGCTGTCGGTAGGGGCATGAATAATGACAATTTTGCTGGAGCGTTAATTAATGCCCAAGCACTGGCGCTGCCTGGCCTCGCGGCCACGTCCCATCCATGTGCGGCTGCGGGCGCGGTGGCACGCTCCCCGCAGAGGTGGTCTGCAGGGCACTTTGGGGGAAGGTTTGGGGGTGCATGGGGGTGCTGCCCGTTGGGGATGAGTGTCCCCTCCCTGGCTGTGATGCTCAGCCGCTCTGTGCATCCTTCTCCCGTGTGTGGCCCCTTCTCTTGCTGTAAGAGCAACTTCACCGGCTGTGTGGCCGCTGGCGAGCTGTGATGCCTCTGACTTCTCCAGCAGAGACCTGGCGCGCGACAGGATCTGGCCCAGCTCTTTCCACATGTGTTACCCTTGGTGCGTGACAGTTCCGAGGTCTGGTCGTGTTGCGTGGGCCATTACAAACCCTCTGGGCGTCCGTCTGAGCATGGGTGGAGATTCTGCAGGGGTGGAGAGCTGCTGCGCTACCTCTTGCTGGGTGTTGTTCTCGTTTCACTACCGCAGGTGTGTTTGGGATGGCACCGCCATGAGCTGGAACTTGTGCAGGTGGTACCTGGTGGCCGTTCCTGGCAACGACCAGGCGCTTGCTTCTCTTATCTGGCTTTTATTTTTCTCCGGTGTCTCCAAGCGGTTCGTCTCCCCGTGGGCTGGGCAGGGCAGCCTTAGCTTGCCGCTGGCAGTGCCTCCATGCGTGCTCCTTGGCTGTCGTGGCGGGTGCGCGGATTAGGTTTGGGGAGCAGCAAACCCCCAGCTTGGGGCACGCTGCCTCTGGAGCGAGGGGCTCGGAGGGCGTCTCGGCTCTTGGCACAGCGAAGCGGCCTGCAACTGAAGTTACTTGAAGTCTTGGCAATATCCTCTCTCATTTTCCTTCCTCTTGCGTTTTCTGCTGAATGTTTCACATCCTCTTTGTTTTAAGACAGGCACGAGGGGAACGTAACTCTTTGTGTATCGGTGAGGAGTGAGGTGGAGGGACGGTTTGGACAGGGCTGTGGTGCAGTTACGTGATGGGGAGGAAGATGCAGGAGGGAGGAAGATGCAGGAGGGAGGAGGACCCCTCCGCAGCTCTGGGCCGAAGCGCTCTCCTGTTCCCTGCCGCCCCGCTTGGCCCCTCGCAGCCCCTGTGCCGCTGACACCGGCGTGGCAGGAGCAGTGTGTAGGGACGGTGAGGCTGGTGTAAAGGCACGTAAGAAAGTCTCTCTCTGGATTTGGTGGAGGAGCTGTTCTGCAGCTTTTTCCCTCTGTGAAGGCATGGAGAGAAACGGTACTGATTCACAGCGCTTTCTCCTTCATGTAAAAAAAACATTCAGAGGTTGAAAATAACCCTCATTTGCTGAAGGGTTGGTCTTGCTAAATATCCTCTGATGCCAAGGGCATCTCTGGAGTGTGTGTATATGTACATATATATATAAATACTGTTTTCCCCCCAGTGAGTATCTGTGCCTATTTCTATTGTCTCTCTTTGCTGCTTGGCTGGTATTAGGAGTGACCTGGTTTTCAGGAAAACATGTTCCTCTTCCTCCCTTACACGCCATAGATAAATTATTCAGAAAGTTTTGCAAATGCAAAGACCTCAAGAGAGACATAAATAATGAACTTGAAGCTTGGACGCCGTGAAACTTGTTCTCCAGCGAAGGAGCTGTGGTGACCATCAGCACCAGGGTTATGGAAGCTTTTTGCCCCTTTGTGTGTGTGTGTGTCCCCTGTGCCTGCGAAACGGGGCAGGCAGGGAGCTGCGTCCCGGCCGGCGGCTGGTCCCGGTATGGCGGCTGCCCATGGTGCCGGCATTGCCTCCAGCCCCTCCGCTTTGGTTGAGGGGTTTTTCAAGCCCAGTTGCCAGGTGATGCAAAGATGCTTGGCAGTTGCTTCGGAAAACGAGCAGGGCACATAACGAGGATGTGGGGGGAGCTGAGCGGGGGCACCCTCCTCCTCCTCCTCCTCCCTGTCGCCCCTGGGTCTCCCCATGCTGACA